TTAAATTTGGGAATTTTGAAGATTTCCATGTGATCGTCGATCATTTTATGATCACAGTAAATTGAAAAGAGCGATAAAGTTGAAAAAAAATTATTGCAAAAACTATTGGCTCCAACAAAAACTCATGGCTAGGGTACCACTCCATTCGTACAGTACGTACACTTCGAAAATTGTCCTACACTCTACCCTCGTTATAATATAGTTATCAGGCAGAAAAATTACATCTATTATAATGAATATCCGTTATTGCATTATATTGTATAGTAATAATTTTAGTATGTTCTAGAGAATTACTCCGTTATAATGAGGGATCCGCTATAACGAGGGTAGAGTGTATATCACCCTTGTGTGTTTGAAAATTGTAGTGATTTAAGTCGGCGTTAGATAATGGGAGAGCATTATGGAGAACTTGCATTGATTTGGGTCATGGTCACATTTTTATGGGCAGCACTTAGAGTCAAGATGAAACTCAAGATTCCTAGTTATACATTCATGATAGTTAGGCATTTAGGCAAGCAATTTATTAAGAAGGATGATTCGTAAAAATTCTCTTATTAGGAGAAGAGTTCAAAGAGCATACACTTATTACTCTAATATCGGGGAAACTAGAATTTATATACATGTACGGAAATCATTGAAAGACATCGGATGATCTGACGATCTACCGAAGGCATCATGCTCTCACGAAGCTATCTATTTTGATAACTACATCGGGAAACCTACACATATCGATATCCTAACTAACATTCCCTAAAAATACAAGATCGACTTACACCAAGGTTACGAATCAACTGTAACACCGGCTAAGGTGGCCACGGTTAGATCGGCTTAGCCAGCTAAGCCAGCCGATATAATGGGTCGGCTGGCTTATGCGGTGCCTAGATTCGGAAGGATTTACGGCATTACGGCATGCCGATATTTTTTATATTTTGTCAAAATGCCGAAATTATCTATTGCCGAAAAAAAAATAAATACGGTAAATCGCACCCTAACGCTAAGTGCCCACCTCTTAATTTTGACCGATCGAATTTCAAGATCAGGTGTAACCAGGGTTGGCACATTTATCCACTGGGACGAATGGTGAACAACTCCATTGACATTGCTCCATTGAGAATAATTTCTGAATGGAACCAATGGAAGCCAACCAAATTTAACTTTATTTAATAAATTGCTGGTATAATGCATTTATTTTACACATAGCTTTATATAGTTTATTAAATCACTTTTACTAAAACGCACCTATGGTGTTTTTACACCATAGGTCCCGTTTCTCAAAAACGTACTAAGTAAACGGGATCGGGTCCTCTAAGTAAAAATGTTCAGGACCCCCAAAAACCTCACGAGAACTGAGATCGGGCCCTTATATTAGCTCTATAATATATTATATAAAAAAAATAATAATTCTTAATTTCCTAACCCTAACCCTAAATTTTATTAAAAGAAATTATACATAGGTGCTAAAACACCATAAGTGCGGTTTATAATAATTGTTATTAAATTATGGATATTTCTCAATTCCATTGACATTGATCTGTTTGACCTGTTTACGTATCAGCTATTGGTATTGTGGTATATGAGGCTAGAGCCTATTCACTGGTTAAAAAAACATTTTTTAACTAAATAATAACTTATTTACTCTTATTTACTATATAATTACTATATATATAGGTAATATATATATGTATTTAAGCATATTAGCTAAAAATATATTAAACTACAAAAATATCTAGTAATTATATAGTATATAAATAAGTTATTATTTTACTAGAAATAACTGGTTATTATTTAGTTAAAATATGTGCTTTTTAACCAGTGATCTTCGTTGGATATGCCATTATTTCTATTTGGTTCTCTATTAGGTTCTCCATTAGTCTCATTGGCTCCATTCACTTCATTGGTTCAATTGGGCTCCATTCGCTCCGTTGGCAATTTTCCTAATGGAGTATATTCATTGCCAAGCTTGGGTGTAACGTATAAATCGAAAAAAAACAATAGCTCTAAATTTTAATTAAGAAACCACATCTTCGGTCTAATTAAGGATGCTTCTTGTGAAATTTTGCTAATAGAAGCTGCATTGTTCTAACTCTAATCCTAACTATAATGTGGCTTATTGGCTTTAATTTTACATGCACCCTCCTATATGCATCTAGTATGTTTTGACTGTCACATCTTAATTTTGATTTATTAAGAATTACAGGAGGAACAATTTTTATGAACTTAAAATCCTTTATAGATAATTGCATATATTTTTAATAATTATAGACCATGCCCAGAGCGTAGTGGAGAACTCAATCTCTACGTAAGTTATAAAAACATTATGTTTTTGATGCATTTCGATCATAAAAATATACTTTATGTTACATCTGCATAAATATTATGAAACTTGTATCAAAACAGTGATTTAGAAAATATTTGTCCACCCGCACGCATGCCAGTACACAGCATGCGTTGTTAATTATATGGACTCCTGACATACAATGTTACGCATTATCCATTATCTAGTACTAGATAATAAACTAAATATTATCATTTTAAATGTTTCATCGCTTTAAAATATTTCATAATTCTAAAATATTCGTCATTTTAAAATTTAGTTTTATAAAATATTTTCGGAAAGCCCATGGCTACTTCGAATTTTCGAACATGCATCCGAGATAAGCGAAAGAATTGGATCAAAGTTACCACGAAAAAATAAAAGAAAAATAATTAGTAAGTATGAAGCAATAATATATAGTAATCAAAAAAAACCCCCGAAAATATTGTCTAAATGACACCAAAAAATAATTTTGGCATCTGGAAGTAATTTCGGCATCCGAAATTATTTTAGGCAGCCGAAATTATTTAGGCAACCAGAAATATTTTCGGCAATTTTTATTTACGGCAAGCCAAACACCCATCTATAATTGCATGATTTAGATTAAGTGGTTACGATAAATTCCGCCGCGTTAAATTTTTGGGAAGGATCCGAAAAATTCTGTAATATAAGCTGCTTTGCCGCCGCTTAGCTAATGGTTTATAACGCTTTGCAAAAAGATGTGAACATGTGATTTTAGTGATGATGATGGCCGAGAATCACTAAGATTCCAGATTGTCTGTTACTTTATATTTACGTTTATATTTCTTTGAAATCAGTTTAATTCTTAAAATCTCAAAAAATCTATAAAATCTCCGATTCTCACATAAAAAAATGATCTGCATGTTCACGTTGTTAGCGAGTGGGAGAGCAGTGTTGGCACTTGTATGGATTCAGGTCATGGTCACACTTTTATTAGACATTACTTATGGTCGTGATGAAACTCAAGATTCCTAGGATTATTATGCATTTATGATACTTGGGCATTTAGGCAGGTAATTTATTAAGAGGAACGATTCATGAGAATTCTCTTTATTGGGAGAAGAGTTCAAAGGGCATACACTTCTTCCCTTTACATCGGGGGGGAAACTAGCATTTATATACATGTGCGAGAATCATTGAATGACATCGGATGATCCAACGATCTACCGAAGACATCATCCCATCATGAGACTATCTACCTTCCGATGTGAATCTATCGGACTTAGAGCTAATTCTAGGTATTAATACTCAATATTAATATCTACATCGGGAAACCTACACATCCCAATTGACATTCCTGGGAAGTACAAGATCAACTTGTACAAAAGGTTACAAATCAACCATAACAACGTCTTTTTGCAAAGCGCAATAATCTGCTGGCTTAGCAAGTTGGCTAAATCCATGTGGCTTAAAACACTAGAAAATTGCAATATTTGATTTTCGATTTCGAAACGAATTATTCTATTATATATTAACATCAATCTACTTATTTTAGGTAAGGCATTCCATACGTAAATACGTATTGTGCATTTATGTACGATGATTATTAGTATTAATAAATAATAATTATAATAAACTGACGATTTTTATAGTAAAAAAGTTTTCAAGAGTTCGTTATACAGTAAATCATTAAATTGCCAAGACACTTCACTATATACATGTGTACTCTAATTTGTTTATATATATAATTAGTTTTATACAGTCAAACATTCCCTAAATGCGTAATCTCTAAATGCATGGCCTTGTTTGTCCCCAACTCATATCTCTAAATGCTGGCCGCCCCCCACGGCTATGCATTTAGAGAGGTTTTACTGTATATAAATTAATCATTACGTTTTGTATACCCGAACTTACAATAGATATAAAAAAAAATTTGTTGTGCAGTGTATTTCATTATCGTATATTCAGAATTGATTGTATAACGATAATGCGCCCACACTGTTTATAGTAAACGGAGTCTTGCTCAAGAATTCTCTGTGCTCAAAGATATCATTAGGTCTTTTTAGGAAGGCAATATTCAATTGCAGTCAGCCTTATACGTAATAAGGTTAGTGCGCCCCATTTTAGGAAGTTTATCGACCGCTTTAGAAGTTGATAAAATGGTACGTACGTACATACATATTTCAAATTTCGGAGGAACAAATTCAATAATATCATTTTAAATCCATGTCAACAGATATAAATGCACCTTACTCGTCACAATCGAATGTTAAGTCTCAATATATATTTTTTCTGGATAAACTATGGTGTGTTGCACTAATTTTCAAAAAAATTGCGCAAAGAAGGTTGGTTAAATCAATTAATATTGTGAATGTATATTCCGACTTTGTGAATAATATCTCATTTTCAAAAAAAAAAAAAAGTGGCATAGAATAACTGCATCAAAATGGACGAAACTCTTTGCCATTGTCCGATTTTTGTTATTTCTTATAATTTCAATTTTTCAATTAGTTATCTTTGTGCGCAATATATTTTACTTTGAGAGTATTACAACCGTATCAACCGATTTTGATGATTCTCAATGTATTAACGAAATAGCTAATAATTATTTAATAGAATCATTACATATTGTATATGCTTGTTTTGAAAATTTGCTTTGTGTGATATTTCAATTTTTTCAAATGTATTTTGGTTTCAATGCAGTAAGTTATTAATTTATTCACCTTTAAAAAATCACATATTTCCTAAATATAAATATTATATTTATATATTGTTTTTTTTAGTTATTCCACGAACAGTCATTTCAACTGATAGCTATTGTAATATTTGATTTAGGATGGGCCTTGTACGGGATTGTAAGTTTATTTTTGCAACTGTCACGTGATTTTATATCCTCCTTTGTAATATACTTTGTATTTAGGGCCAAGCTCTTATTTTGAAATATTTTCGGGATAAATTTGAAAATATACCTTCATGTCAACAATTTCTCCATTACGATCTTTCTTTTCGTTATGTTGATATTCCGTATACTGTAGTTTATTTCACTCTTGCTTTGATATCTACCTTTGTTTCTTTCAAATTGTATCAACAA